ACTCACATTTCTCCTGGCACCAATTTAATCGATGAATTTCTTGTTTTGAAGTCAAAAGAGGTTTTTTTCTTGGAATATGGCTTCCAAACCCTATTTCATTTATGTATTTGCGAACAGTATTAGAATGGTGAGTAGTATTAAGTATGTCGTTTATTTCATTTGTAATTTCGCCAAGTGGAGAAAACTGGTTTTTCAAAATAACTCGTTGTAATGCACATTTATCACAATTGGTTAGAACTTTTGGTCGACCAGGACATTTTTTAGGATGCGGAGAGTTGGTTTCATAGTAATATTTAATGATATCATAGACTGTTGTTTGAGGAATTTTGAATTTAAGTGCAATTTTTCTACCTTTGACGTCAGTGAGATGAGTGCCAATTATTTGTTCCCTTTGTTTGTTGGTCAATTCCTTTCCACACATTATTAAAAAGGAGAAAAAAATGAGTTTTTTTTGTATGTATGTTTGTCTGTGTTTATATAAACAATGTCAATAAATTGGCTTTTTAAACTTTGGATTGACAATTTGTACGATCAATTTCTGGTAATTTATTGTAGGGGTGTGTATTTCAAATTAGATTAAATTCAATTTAAAATATTTTAAATTAAACTATTTTTAGTTAATATTATTTCAAATTGAACAAAAATTTATATATATATATAATTATATTCTGAATAACATTATTTAAAAAAAATACAAGTATTTTATTTAATAAAAATAAAAGTTATTAATAAAAACTATTTTATAATTTTTAAATCTAATCTAAATTTAAATTAATCTGAATTTATTAAATCAGATTGATCTCAAATTTAGTGTTTCAATTGGATTAGGTTCAATTAAAGATGATATAGTAAGTATATAATACTTATTTGTTATCTGTTGCAATATGTTATAACTCCAAAATTTTATAAGTTACAACTAGCTACAATTAGATAATACTTTATTTATTATCACATTACAACAATTGTTGTATTATATTTAAATTTAATTCATGATCTGATTCAGAACACATATTTCAAGTTAAATCAAATTGAAATCAAATCTAATTCAAAATATTTTGAATCAGCCTAAAAATTATTGGTTTTCATTTAATATTAAACAAAAATTTGTGAATATTGTTATGATTTGATATTTCTTATAATTAATTTTATATTTTTATATTAATATTAAAATCATTTTATTGAACAATAATATTTATAATTAGTATTTAAACTTTGAATATCTATTTGAATTTCAATTAGAAATTCAGTTTGAATTTCAGTTTGAATTTCAGTTTGAATTTCAATTTAATTTATAATCTTATTAAAAATTTAGTTTTTATAATTTATTTATAAATACAATATATATCTTAGCTTAAAAAAACTTAATTTATTTTTTGTATATTCCTTTTACTTAATTAATTTATAATTAATTATCAATGTTTAACTCTTTAAAAAACTTTCTAACTTTTGAATTTGAGATTGTGATCATGTGATTTGATGCGACTGTATGTACTGTATATAAAAAATATTGATAATTATATTATTGAGCCTGATAGTTGAAAAAGTGTGATTATTTTGGTGTTAATTTGTTGGAGTGAATTATTTTCAATGGATTGTAAATAGATGAGAAATTGTTTTTAACCTGAAGTTTAATATGTTAAACAAAGAAATTGAATTCCAACTTTAATAATTAATTATTAAATAACAATCAATTTATAACAAGAAATAACATTTTGTTTGGAAAAAATTGTAAATCACAAAAAATTCGCAAGTGCTTCAGTTTGAAAATGAAGTTTACAACTATCAATAATCGTTTGCAAGGAGACTCCATTCATCACATTCTCCAGCTCATATAGAGTAAGATTAAGTCGATGTTCTGTAACCCGATTCTTTGAAATAATTCAATGCATTGTCATTGTTAGATTTAGATTTAGACTATAATATAAATCAAATTAAAAAAAAATAAAACCTGTGGAAAATTATAAGTACGTATTTTTTCGGACCTTTCAGCAGTTCCGATCTATATAAGAAATGTTTATTAACAAATAGTGAATCATGATACTAAAGATAATAAAGATGATAGATGATGATGATTAGAATTCAGACCTGCTGTCGACGTGAATCTGTTCTTTCATTATGTAACTTATTCCTCTCCATTTCATATAATTTTGCACGTAAGATTCTTAATGCTTTAGCTTTATTCTGTATAATTCATGAAGAATGAATTAAATTATATAAATATTATGAGCAACGTAAAATTACTATCCATTACCTTTGGTTGAGATCGTTCATCCTGAATGGCAACTACTAAACCAGTGGGAAGATGCGTAACTCGAGCAGCACTCTCAGTTTTATTTACATGTTGACCACCTTTACCGCTGGCACGATAATAATCGATTTTTAAATCGGAATCTTTTATATCCACTTCAACCTATCGGGTAATAAAATACAAAATTGAAATATATGAAAAGTTATAAATCTGCAAATATAAAAATAGTTTTTTGAAATACATCTGTTGCTTGTGGAAGAATTGCCACCGTGATAGTACTTGTGTGCACGCGACCTTGATTTTCTGTGGCGGGAACGCGTTGTACACGATGTACGCCGGATTCATATTTCATATTTCCGAATACTGCCATACCTGTTATTGAAGCTGTTGCTTCCTATATATTATAAATAATTAATTAATGGATATTCTAAATATTCAAAATTTGCTTAAAAGTAGAATTTATTTGACATACTTTCATTGCGCCTATTGAATCTTCGGATATACTCAAAATTTCAAACTTCCATTTCCGTAAAAAAGCATATTTTTCATACATTCGTAAAATTTCACCCGCAAAAATTGCTGCTTCGTCACCACCAGCTCCTAGGAGATGAATTATTCGATAATAAAACATAAATAATATTAAAAATACAAATCAATTACAAAAAATACCAGCTCGAATTTCGAGAATCGCGCTTCCCTCATCTGCACTATCTTTAGGAAGTAATTCGGTGACGATAGTTCGTTCTAATTCACGAATTCGATCTTTCGTTCGTTTGTACTCTTCCTGCGCCATAGCCTTTAAATCCTGGTCGTTTTTAGAATCAGATATCATTTGTGAGATTTCATGGAATTCCTATCAATGAATACGGAGAATTAAAGTAAATCAAAAGAAACTATAATGCCAAATAAAGGAATAATTTAATTTTATATACACATTTTGTGCAGTTTTCAGCTCTTTATATGGCTCAATGATATCTCCAATATTAGAAAGTTCTTTTGATAGCGAGGCAAATGTTTCTGGATCTTTGATGGTCGAATCCTTAGAAAAATATGAAATTGTGCGAATGACTAATTATATCCCGTTTTATATCAGAAAAATGTTCTTAATATAAATTATTAATTCTCACTTTTCCATCATTCTCAAATTCTTTCAGTAACACAGAATGTCTCGATATTAATCCTTCTAGCTTTTCGCGTATTTTATTGTTCAACAAAGAATCCTTTAAAATTAATGAAGAAGAATCAGTCTCGCTGGTGACGTCTTCATGTATTTATACAACGGAGAAATTATTTGAGATAAATGTTAACATGGTCTTTATTTAAATTTCTTTAATGTTGTATATTATCCTTTATTTCAATCAATACCTGTAGAATAGCACCGTATATACAATGGTAATCGAGAAAATCGGTTTCGATTATAATCGAAACATCTATTTTGTAGAATCACTTGTTTTTTTGTACGTGTTAAAGTTACTGTGCGCAAAGTCGACACTAAGAATCTACACAGTCTCGAATGTTGCATTTTAAATATTTTTTTTGAAACGATCAACTAATGAGAGAATCACCAATAATTATATTATTATTTTATATTTTATCTCAACACTACGTCACGTTTTCTTGGCTATTACAATTCTAAATATAATAATAAAAATGAATACAGAAATTACTATAATACATTTACCGTAAGTGCTAAATTAAGAAAACACTACCTCTGATTATTCAAAATTATGTGTAATCTGCAGAAATTGCTTATTATAGAGTATTTGTTTTGTTGTGATGATTCTGACTGAATATCTTGCTACTGATTTTTTGCATTTGGTCTGCAAACTGCTAACATTAAAGTAAAATGGTCTGAATTATTCTAGCGAATCTCTCTTTTACAGGAGGCAGTACTTGTTTATCTTCATCTTTTACCTTTATATATAATTACCAATTTGTTCGATAAAGAGGATTTCAGAATTGGTGCTTATAATTCTTAAATGTATAGTTAACGAATTGATAGATTATTAGATCATGGCATTTCATAGGCTATAAATTTACAGTGAATCAAATACCTGAATTCGATCTGAATTCTTTATATATATTCAATCTTGTGTTTGGTATTTGATCATTGAGAGATGACACGGGCAGCATATCTTGTTACTGTTCTGGGTATGAATATAATTCGCTTCACTAATTTGAAGCAGTGTACTACGAACCAAAACAAAATCATCGTAGCTTTGAGAAAAATAGAAAAATTATAAGTTTATTTACGTAAACTGAGTTAATAATAAGTTTATAAAGAGTTACCTGCAAGCACGTATGATAGCAATGAATAGAAAATATCAAGCCATAAAGATTTGTCCTGTTGTGTTAACAATTGAATTTCATCCTCCAATAACTTGAGCTGCAATTATACAAATTCAAATTTCGATAAACCAATCTCATTTAAAGATGATAACGGCCGATAGGAAAGTCAAAAATTAACAACAAACCTCATGAGAGTAATTATTGTTCACTACTAAAGCTATATTTCCAATTTCTCCCAATGTTGAATCCATGTCTTTTGATAAACTATCAATCCATACAAAAGCAATTAGTTTATAAGTTTGTAAAAATCCAGCATAAACAGACCATTCTTCATACCTTGCATGTTGTTCATCTAAACTCTTCGCCTTATCTTTAAACTCTTGCAAATCTGTTTCAAGCATTTTAAGCATATTTTCAATCTTCACTTCAATTTTGACTGAAGGTAATTCATTATTTTTGTAACTATCTTGATTCGATTTTTCACTGATTGGTCTGGGTGATTGAACAAAGGGCATATCTTCTATTTCATGGCAAAAAAATAAATCGGAATTTATAGCTTGATATTTATTGACCAAATTTGCCTAAATAATAATTTTAATGTTAGAAAATGCATAAACTGATATAATTGTTTCTATAGAAAGTTATTACGTACTTGATTTGATTCTATAAACGCAGTGGTCTCTTGAATGCATGTATTATATCGATCGACCATTTTTTCTAGCTCTACTTGATGACTGAAAAGAAAAATATTGAGCACCTATTATAATTATATTTAAATAAATCAAAAATGAAAAAATACCTTTTATATTCCTTAGATAAATTGACATCTACAATAGAAGATGATTCACTAGAACTTGCGTAGGAGTCCTGATCATCATCTTTTATATTTTGACCGTCACCATGCAAATCTTTTGTCATGTCAAAATCAGCATTTTCCGGGTACAGTTCTTTATCAATTTCTCCGATGTCACTTGAAGCCATCATACTTCTTATGCTGCGATTTCCTTCGTCTGATAAAGCGCCTGGATCAACGTCGGGAATAACTAACGGTGTTGGTGGTTTATCAACCGAAGTATCTGGTTGTGCCAGCGAACATATCACATTATCTGATGACTCTGATAAGCTTGATGATTCTGACGAAGTAATTGAATAGATTGAATTTCTTTTCTCAGAGTTTGGATTCTCTTGCATAATTTTATCATTTTCTTTGTCTTTATTTATTGCCTCCTCATGCATGCTTACTTCTGAAGTACGTTTATGATTTTTATGTTTTCGTCTAAAAAGTGCTGACCATCTTATTGCCTTTCTGTGGTGTGATCCATCTTTTTCAACACCATTCAAGCTAAAAGAACGATTGTGTTTTTGATCCCGAGAACTTTTTTTGGAATGTATTTCGTCCGAATAATAGACAGAATCACCCTTACTACTATCATTTATGTTATTGGTTACTTGGTAAATGGTATGCAACTCTTTACTAAACAAGTTATTCATAGATGGATGGGAAAGACGACGATTCTGAGCATTTCTAGTAAGAGATGCGGGACTTGATTCGATTCTCATAATGGGAAGTGATTCCACACTTGAAGATGTCTCTCGATATTCAAATATTTTTGTGTTGAAATGCTCCGGCAAGTTTTCTTCGATTGTCGTCTTATTTATATTTACAATAATCTCTGGCTTTATGTTTCCAACAGTACTGTTGTAAGTTAACAATTCTTCGTTGGTGACATCCCAAACGTTTTTTCGACGGTGTGCTGATGAGATACTACCAGCGTTTTTAAGACGAACTGGCTGATTACCCTCGAGCTCAGCCTCGAATGTGTCTTTAGCGTTTTCCTCTTGACGACTTCTAATTATCTGTAAAGGATTATAATTGATATTCTCCTTTAGCATTTCTGAAATAATTCGATATTTATTCTCAAAATATTGTTTGCAAGCACGTGACGCGGAAAGAGTACGGTCCGAGGGAGCAAAATTTGAAGTACGTTGTCCTTTACACGTTAGGAATTACCAAGATGTTATTATTTTAAGAGATAATTAAAATGCAAAAATTAATATAATACCATCATCATGCGACTCTTTTTTGATCGGTTCGAAATTGACAGGACTATGCGCTCGCGATTTTTGATTAGCTTGTTTTTGAGCCAGCAATAATGCATCTTCATCTTTAACATTCGCTAGCAGTGACGCGACAGACTCTTTATTGAAAAATGAGCACGTAAATTGCTTAGGCAAAATAGAAAATAAGTAAAAATAAATAACCCAAAAAACGATTAAAAAATATATTAAACAAAAACCTTTTCCCCCCTCTTCATTCATCAAATACACAAAACTTTTTCCTGCGTGCCCAATTCTTTCTCGATCCAGGCTTCTTTGTTCAAAAGAAGGACTTCTGTGCAACTTTTTCTGATCAAAATTCAGAGTCATTTTTTGATTGGAAGTATATTTAGTAGAGTCGGTTTTTTCAGATCGATTGAAATCTGTCTCTTGCTGTGAGAACACGGATTCTATTGGTTTAGAGGTAGCAGACAGTGCTCGCTTTCTTGAAGGTAGTATAACGTTATCGGACTTTTTAGGGTGTGAACCTTTCATGACATATTAACAGTTATTTCGTAATAGTAGAGCCAATAAGAACTGCAGGAATAGAAATTTTCATAACCTATATAAAATTATCGCGATATGTATCGTGAACGCAGATCAATTTCACATTCTCTAAGGATCGGGCGCGAACAAAGTGAGGAACATTTTCAACTGAAGCTTTAAATATCTTCGACAAATAAATGCTGGGTATTCCTCGGGTGGTATTTTTTCCCCCGAGTAGTTTTCTATTGGCCGGGTTCAATAAAGGAATACTAGCAAGCGGCTCATATCTTCTAAAGACAAAGTCGGGTTCCACGAATTTTTACAAGTCAATTACGATAACTTCCAGTCATGTCTATCCACATAAGTCTTCTCATAATATTTTTTGGACGTTTCGGTGTGTTTCACGCCAAACTCAGCTCATTGATAAGGTTTCGTTATGTTTGACAAATTCGCGTTGTTTTCACAACACCCAAGACTACATTTATACCGCTGAAGACGGATATATAATAAATAGGGTTAAGCCACAATTTATAAATAATAAAGCAAGTACTGTTGCCGATATCGAATTAGTTAAAAAATTATCATCACGTAAAACGATCGAAAGAATTAGGAAAGCAATTCAAAAACTCACACTGGGAATATTGAGTATTGCAACTGGCACAACAATCATTTTGGTTACTTGGAAGGAAAATTATAGAGAAAGATTTACGCTTTGGTGTGCTGGAGCTTTTCGATCCGCTGTAACTATTTTTTTTTGGTAGGTACTCGTGTTTTCTTATGATTATGGCAAAAGTCCACAATTAATGATCATGATCTCTTTCTACTTTATTATTCTTTTGTCAGTTGTCTTTGTATGCTAGACTATAAATTACTGCATTTACGATATGCTAGTACTGGATACGGGTCTGATGAGTATAAAGCGGCTAGAAGCCTTGTGCATCTTCGAAGTGCATACCGGCTTTTACGACTGTGTAAATTGAACACTGGCGTCTATATAAAAGGTACATATTTAGCTGTTGGTTTTAATTGTTTAATTTTACTATAAATTTTTGAATTGCGACTAATCTATTTTTTTTACATTAGCGGGACAACATCTTGCTTCTTTGACTTATGTAGTACCGAAACAATACACTGACGTACTTTCTGTGCTCCAAGATCGGGCACCTTATAGAGCCATGTCTGAAATCGAAAAAATAATTAAGGAAGAATTTAATGGCCAAGGATCCAAAGATTTGTTCTCTGAATTCGATGAGACGCCGCTTGCGGCCGCATCTTTGGCTCAGGTGCACAGAGGTGAAAAATAATTTAAATTCAGAACTGGGTCAAAGGCTCAAATTTCCGTAACATATTCTAAGCTAACTTTATTCGTTGAATTATTTGATAATAGCAATAACAAAAGATGGACGCGAAGCGGCTGTCAAAGTTCAATACCCAGATGTTGCGCGTCTATTTCATGTTGACGTCTGGACTATGCAGACTATGTCCGATCTGATTTCCTTCTTATTTCCAGAATTTGAACTAAACTGGATTGTGAAAGAATTCAAACAAAACTTGATAGCGGAATTCGATTTCGAAGCAGAAGGAAGAAATGGCGAATTAACAAAACAACGATTTGCACATCGCAGCGAATCATTTGTTATTCCAGAAATTTATCATGAGTTTTCTACAAAACGAGTCCTTACTATGCAATTTATTCGCGGTGTGAAAATCAACGATCTCAATGGATTGAAAAGACTTGGCGCTGATCCAGCTTGGGTCAGAAATCAATTGCTAGAAGTTTTTGCCGAGATGATTTTTTGCCACGGAATTGTACATTGTGATCCGCATCCAGGTAATGCATTAGTCGCTATCTCGCCTGTCACAAAAAAGCCACAATTAATTCTCTTGGATCATGGTTTATATCGTGAACTTTCCGATGACTTTCGTAAAACATATTGCACGCTTTGGAAAGCATTAATATTAAATGATACCAAAGCTCTCGAAGAATCTGCAGAAACGCTTGGAGTTGGCGAATACACGAATTTTCTCCCGTTAATTTTCACGCAACGTATTCCTGAATCAACATCGTTACTGAGTGAAGACCTTTCACCTGAAGATCGCGCCATTTTCTACAAGCAAATAAAAAACATAACGCTCAATGATTTATTGAATTTTTTAGAACTTTTACCACGTGATATGCTATTAGTATTTCGGACGATTAATTTATTACGTGGGATTCACAAGCAATTAGGCGGGACCTCAACAGAAGTGTTTAGTCTAAATGCGGAATATGCAACACGTGGATTTTGGTGTGAAACGAGGGAAGAGGAACAAGCTCGTATACATAGAGAAAAAGAGAAACGTCGAAGGAAGCGTAGAAAGGCTGCTGGACAACCTGAAAATAACAATGACAATCCTATAGAAGTTGGCCCAATAAGGCGGTGGTATTTGTTTGGCGGAGCACCGACATTAAGACGAAGTTTAGGTTATTTGCAAGACGAGATTTGGTTAAGTATTAGATTCTACATGGCTGACATATTTATAAAGATATTGCGATGGTGGTATCGAACTTCAATCACTCATAGTAGTAATCATCATGATGCAACAACATTTTAATAAACAATTTTTCGTAACTATTTATTCGATATTTGTAATTTTTAGGTTAATTATTATTAACATTAATAAATTTTAATTAATATAATGCAAACTTCTATTAAGATCATCTTTTATTAATTTTAGCCAATCATAATAAACAAAATAGATTAGTAACAAAATAGATTAGTAACAAAATAGATTAGTTATTCCATTATTAACAACACTAATTTCACGGTTTACAATCTATGCTCGGTTCCCAATAAAAACATGGATATTCCTAGTAGAGCGGTCAGTCCCTCTGAAAACACAGAAGACAGTCTTTACAATCGAATGGTCACAAACTCTAAACAACTTGATAAAATGGAAGAAGAGGCTGCGGAAATTACTCGAAAGGTTCTACTCATTCACAGCCAGATTCGCGCGAGTAAGATATCCCGCTTCCGGAGCATTATCATCACCTTTTGGCTATTATCTAACATTGCTACATTGGTTTTTTAAAGTGGGTGGCTTGACTGAATCAATGGTTTCTGAGTTACGCGTTCTTTACGAGCGAGGATTGGAGCAAGCGCGTCGCGAAGAAGAGTACGTAAGGATATTTATAGTATATATGATATGGTTATCAAGTATTGATGATTTTAATAGAATATAACAATATAACTGATCGATCGATCGATCAATAGATCGATTGATTGATTTATTTATTGACGGCTGATACTTGTATTTCCGGTAGTCTTGCATCAAATGTTTCTAGTCAAATCGACCAATTCATGCAAATAAAAGGAGGAACAGCTAATACACGAAATGAGATGGTAACACAAAGAGGTATCTATAAAAATCTAATGATAATCTCAAGTTTAAACTTTACACTCAAAAAATATAATATTTTGGTGAATTTATAGGATCCTCTACTCCAACTTCATCATCAGCATCTCCCCACAGAACACCACAATCGACATCAAAACCCGTAAAGAAAACATTAACACAGCGAAAGCCAACCACGAGTCAACTTAATTCTACGGAAGAAGGGAGTACCCCATCTTCTCCCACCTCTCATAAAAGAATGCGTCCCAAAGAAGAAACGAAAAAACACAAGATGCAAGTGACCTTTTTTCTGCATCTTGTTTTAATTTTGCATTCAATCCTTTAGACTAAATATGATTTTTGATTCGTAATAGCAATCTTACAATCCCTAAAAATGATTTAAGATTACCGAGAGGACGAGCTGTATGTCTTATATTTTTTATCGAGTTTTCCTTCATTGATATCTTTCTTTTATACTTGACTGATTATGTAGACAAAATTATTAGGTTGCGGCAAAAGAACCAAAAGAAGAAAATTATATAATAGCCACAATCAAAAGTTACAATCCTCAAACTAAACAGTATGTGATTTGAATGTAACAATTGCGCTCTTTAAAATAATAATATCTAACTAAATCTAATATTAAATTCTTATTATAATGTAGATACGAAGTCGAAGACGCTGATGAAACAGCTCAAGAGTAAATAATATATTTTTATGTTTAGTAGATCTAAATATTTTCGAGATAAAGATTCTTTTCTTATTACGTATATTCATTGATAATTTAATTTGATTAAAAAAAAAGACGAATCTTTTGGGTTCCTCATAGCAGCATAATCCCAATCCCAAAACCCGAACAAGTAACAACAGAATTCCCGGCAAAACACACAGTTCTAGCTGTTTACCCGGCGACGACTACATTCTACAAAGCCGTGGTTGTCTTGCCTCCGAGCAAGACGGGGGATCGACCAAACTCTGATGAAAAAGGAAAATATTTGCTTGAATTTGAAGACGATCACGGAGCCAAACAGCCAGCTGATATTATTCATGTATTGGAATACCCAAAACAACATTAACTTTTTAGGTTCATATCTAATCACACAAGTTATTTCACGTATTTGTATTTTATAGGACAATATTTCTCGATCAGGATTCACATGAAACGAACTAAATTAATGCTGTGTACTTGTTCACTCCGAAAAAAAACACAAGTCACGCTATTTACCATAACCAATAGAACACGACTAATAAATAAATTTGCTCATCAAAGTCTTAGCGTTAGCGTAATAATAATATTGTGATTTGGACACGACATTAATATTATTGCATCGATCATCCAAATTTCAGAACGGGTTTAATTACATATTTACTTATTTGTGTAAGTGATACCCTTCTAATATTTTTAAGGGTTAGAGATAGATTACGTATATATATGCAAAATCGTCTTTAAAGATTTAGAAATCTCCTGTATTTTTCTTGTTTTGAAAAATTTACGTTCCCTCATTGGCTTGTGCTACTCGAAATATCCATTTTTGAGCCTGTACAAATAGGGAGTAATAAATCGATCATTACATACATGTACATAAAAATATTCATTATAACACTACTTTCCTTCAACTTCTCTCTCTCCACTCTTTAAAACCCGTTAAACCACTTAACAGCAAGCCACGCTCTTTCTCTGCATATTTATTTACAAATTTATTTACACAAATTTCCGAGATATATTCCTCATCATGTACACAAGAGAGAGAGAGAGAAAGAATTAAAGAAAAAAAATCAATATCATCAAATAATAAAAGCATTTATAAATATAAAATGTATCGATTACGCTCTTTTGGTTCATATATGCGCACAATGTGTATATTATCAATAATTTTAATATTTATAATGCTTCATTATTATCTTCACTCCCAAAACACGGCAGCGACTCTGACTATACCTGTGCAATCAGAGTTTTTTACTACTTTCATTAAACCAGACCCATATCAATATCCAATACCAAGAAAAACACACATGGAATGTCATTCATACCACGAAAAAAACAATGTCACGTTTGACCAACTCTGGAATTATCCACCGACAAAAGTGCTAGTTGGAGTATTTACAACGGCGAATACATTTGAACGACGACAACTTCTACGAGTCATATATAAAGCTGCACAAGAACGGCTAAAAGACGATTGGGTAGATTTCAAGTTTATCATTGGTAAACCGAAACCAGACGAAGACACTTCTTCGCTTCGACTTAAACTAGAAGTTGAGCAAGCAGCATTTAATGATGTAGTGATGTTGGATATAGTCGAGAATTTAAACGAGGGAAAAATTTATGAATATTATCGATGGGCAGGTTTAAAGTTTAATGTGAATAACACTATCGAACAATACGATTATATATCGAAAACGGATGACGATGCATTTGTACATTTTCAGAATCTCGCATTGAATTTACGACCATTGTCGCGCGAGAAACTTTACTATGGATTTTACTCACCTGTTCACAAAACATTTGGATTTGTGACTGGAATGTTGGAAGTGTTATCCATCGATCACGTTCGATGGATTTCTACTGCTGATTTGCATGGATTGATTACTGGACCTGAGGACGCGATGGTTGCAAGATGGCTCGAGTATGGTGGATGGAAATTCGTGAATTGGATACATGAGAACTGTTTGTTATACGAGGATCCGAGAAGTAGTGCGAATCAATGGTGTTGGAGACCTTGGGCTTCACCACATACAATTGTATTTCATGGAATGAAAAGTAATTGGAAATGGGACGCAGTGATTGAATTATTCTTTGGGGAAAATCAGTTTGATGATCCAACTATTGCCATTAGCGACGATAACAACAACAATATCGATAATACTATAGTTATCACTACTACCAGTAGTGATAACGATAATAACGAAAATAACAATTAACAATAATTAATTTATTTTGTTATTTTAAAAAATTAGAATTGTAGATATTTGAGTTGTATGATTTATTTCAGAGTTAGAACATCAATACCATCATAATTAACGCATAGATTGCATAGCGATGGTAATTAAATAGTATTTATTTAGATAATAGCATTTAGGTAGTGTTTCTCATATTTAGGCTGTAATAGTTTTTGGTTACCAGGCAAAATCCAAATATTTATTTGCTGATTGATTGATTCATTCATTCATTGATCTCTCTTAAAGTATACAATAAAAACAATCATTTGATAATGCATTCAATTGCATTGGTCCACATGTATACAGTTGTGATTTAAATATTAAAAATTGAATTGAATTGAATTGAATTGAATTGAATTGAATTGAATTGAATTGATCTGCAAAAGATTGTTTAATATAAATATCATACAATAGGTATATTCGCCCCAACTCTGAACATCAAAACCAAGAAAACTCATTTATTATCATCGCCACCAACACCAAACGAAATAATTTCTTCGATTCTAAAAGAATCATCTTGATATCCTTCTCGTGAAATTACATACACATGGTCAACCAAAAATTCGATTGGATCGTTCAAGAATTCCGATTCAAAAGATTTTATAGCTTTCTTTGCAGCTTCCTAAAACCGATCAAAAATCTAAGTATCGTAAATTCACGATATATGTATGCATAATACATAATCCGATTAATTGGGATAAATTAAAATTACCTCTCCGGGAAATTGTCCCAATGAAAGATGCGGGACAAATCCACCACCACCAAGTTTTATTAAATCATCAAATTCCGGAAATCCCAACTCAGTATTATTTTCTTCTACTTTTCCATCATCATCATCAGTCCAACCATAAACTAATTTTCGCTCAAGTTTCTCCACTTCTCCGATTACCGGTTCACTTATTGGTCTCAACCAAATAGTCGCACTTTTTCTCCCGTGCAAAAAATAATCAATCTCTTTAAGCTTGATAGTGAATGGTTTTTGATTGGATAATGTTAATCTTAGTCTTTTTAATACATTATGAACATTATTAGTATTAGTCATATCATCATCATTATTAATAGAAGTAATAGTAGAAGTAGTAGTAGAAGTAGTAGTGGAAGAATATTCTTTAATTGGAATAAATGGGTAAAGTAAATTGATGTGTGGTTGCGTCCATCTTCTAAAATGCTTATCATGTGATTCTCGAATTTTTTGGATTCGTGGCCAATGAGTCGTGGGGGGAATTATGCACAATGCGGATTTATGAGTTTTTACGAATTTATTGGCGGAATATGTGTCAAGAGACATTATCGTAATTACCTTATAAAAATCGATCAAAGATAAATATATCGATATGTATATATCGTCGTTATGCTGGTGATCCCAAATTTAAATGTGATATGCGTGTGCCATGCACATTTTGTTCAACATAAAATTCTTTTTCCTTGTTTGAAATGTTGTACATCATTCATATTCCTTCATTCATTTACTTACAAAGTTACGACGTCATATAACTGTAACTGAATTTCAATTCACCACTTTAATAACAACAACAATAAAACACGAGGTAAATAAATAAATAACGGGCGGATGATACACAAGTATGCCATTTCGTTTTTTTCATAGATCACAATAGTCAATATCAAAAATCAAATATCAAATAGGAATGTCACCAGTTTATAATAATAAACTAAGAAATTGTTTGATTTTCATTCTCGTTTTTTTTGCTGTCGTTATCAAGATTATATAGTCGCATTAATCGCATTGTGCAAAAAACACAAGAAAAGAGGGGTTTTTTTCTTTTTCCAGCATAGGTCGCTGTGGTCCTCAGTCGGATAAAAAATAAAAAAAAAATATACACTACCAACAAAAGGTAAATTAAAACCAGTGACCATTATTATTAATAACCAATAAACTATATACAAACGTAATAATAATAATAGTAATACGAATAAATATTGTTACTTCGACGACAAAACTGATAAACAACACTTTTAACTTGACAATCAATATATATACATATAATACTTTTTCCCTCGCTCGAAAACCTCCATAGAAAACTCAAAAACTACATACAAAAAAAAAGACAGGGGAATAAAAAAAGAACTACTATGGTGAAGGTTCCAAAAGCATTGAAGCCTACACTTGACTTTCGTCGTTCAGTAACCAAAGATAAAATTTCAACTCCTATTGCCATACCAACAAAACACCCACCTTCTATATTACCACCCAAGAAGGTGATTAAAGCATTGTATGACTACGATGCAAGTGCACCACGCGAACTCTCTTTTTCAAAAGGCGACTTTTTTCATGTGGTTGGGGACGAAAATGACGCAAACTGGTACGAAGCTTGTAATCCGGCCACTAATTTACGAGGACTAGTACCTGTCTCGTATTTTCAGGTACTCGAAAAAAGTAATCGACTAAGTGGTAGCGAGAAAATTGATCCGAACGCATTCTACGACCCGTCAATTGGCGGACAGAAACCTCAGCCATTATATGGAATCGTGTTGTATGATTTTGCTGCTGAACGCCCCGATGAACTTAATGCTAAAGCTGGTGAGCCTATTATCGTGATTGCACAATCGAATCATGAATGGTTTGTTGCGAAGCCGATTGGACGTCTTGGTGGACCTGGATTAATCCCTGTTAGTTTTGTCGAGATAAGGGATCATTCAACGGGCAAAGCAATTGAAAATATACAGGAATTAATGGATAATTCAATTGTTCCAAGAGTAGAAGACTGGAAGAAAATGACACAGGATTACCAAGAGGCGAGTATTTCATTAGGGAGATTGGAGTTCGCTGGCGATTCTAAATTCATGCCGACTGGAATCGAATCAGATCCTAAATTAGCTCCTGTTGGTATGATGGATCAAGGGAATAATATGGAATATGATCCAAAACTCGCTCCAATGGGAGTTGGTGGTGGATTTGAATATGCAACCGAACAATCATATGAGTATGGTGGTGGGTACGTTGCAGGAAGACATTCAAATGGATCAGATACACTGCCAATGATACCAAATTCATCCACTTTACAGAATAAATTATCTCCATCATCTCCTCCGTTGCTACCATCAAATGTTCTTAATAATTTCAATAAAATCAACCACAACCACTACCAGAATAATGAAAGATCATCCGGAGGTATACTGGACGAAATAAATACCGCGTCAGTCGACTCGTTTCATTTTCAGGATGATCGATATTGGTTTTTGGTCAGAGTTGAATTATCATCAGGTCGATTCCGTATGTTATATCGATTATATGAGGACTTTTATGAATTTCAAATTGCTCTCTTAAATGAATTCCCTGCTGAGGCTGGGCGCACCGGACAACAGAGAATTTTACCTTTTATGCCGGGCCCACTTTCATATGTGAACGATATGATTACAGCACAACGACGAGCTGATTTGGACGTTTATGTTAAGGAATTATTAAATTTACCAGATTACATATTACAACATCCACAATTACAACAGTTATTTGGTATACGAGAAGGTGATTCTGAGACTGCGTATGATCCAAGAAATAACAATGATTCGAGAGTAAATGGAAATAATGTAATTCTGGATCCTACTTCCCAAATTTCTTCATTCACTCATTCGGATATTAATCATCATTATAACCAACAACAACAGCAACAAATCATTTATAATAATAATAATGATAATTTTAATAATGGATCTCAGTCAATAAGGAAACAAACCTCAATGACCAATGGCGCAGGAAATGGAGGTGGACTATTTAAACATTCGCATAACGGATCTTCGTCATCTTCATCAATTGCTGGTACTGGTAGTGGACACAATAAACATCAAACACTCTCACATCAAGACTCTAATCCACAAATGCGTTCAAATAATAACACACAAATTAAAGGAACGAATGGAAAAGCAAATTTTATTAAAATTAAAATATTCTATCAAGAAGATCTTATTGCGATACGCGTGCCCGCAGAGGTCTCTTTTGCAGCATTACGAGAGAAATTATACGATCGTCTTAAAGGACATGTCACAAGTTTACATTATAAAGATGAGAGAACCGGTGAATCATTTGAACTTGAAGGTGATGCCGATTTACAAGCTGCAATAGCAAAAACTCCAAAATTAGTAATTTATGCCGAATAAAAAACTATTATGGAGATGGTTGTGTGATTAATGGATTATAAAGTCGGTGAGAAATGTGACGCGTATTGATAATAATGGGAAGAGAGAAAAAGGAACTGCAGTTCAAGAAAAATGAAAAAGTGAAGAGGAAAAATTAGCAGTTTGGATTGGAAGGTGCGAGAGTCGGGGAGAAGTTTTTTGTAAAAACAATATTAGAATTGAGGAAAAAAGAAAGCGAAAAGATAGAAAAAGGAAATGTGAATATATACGTACATATATCGTTGTTATTATATAATATAATGCTCTGCTATTATTATTATTATTATTATTACTATTATACTTTTATTATATATCATCATCATATTATTAGAAAGGATGCGGGGTAAAAAAGAGCAGGATGGAGTTGCTAAGGGAAATTCTGTGTTACAAAAGCATTGGGGTTTTATCATTACATTCATTTTTCTTATTGCCATTATATATTATTATCATTATTTTTCAACAAATTCATTCATTCATCCATCCATCCATTCATTTTTTTTTGAAAGATTTTTTGTACTTAAATGTTTATTATTATTAATTTTATTGATGAGGATATGGAAAGAAGAAAAATTATATATATACATAATATTAACAAATATAAATAAATCATATAAGCACATATAATACTTTTTTTTAACAAAATCTGTAATTTTTAGAAATATTTTTTTTAATTTGGAATCCAAGTGCACATTAAAGATATAAAAGTTATAGCGATAATGTCTCGATTAGCAATTTCAATTTATCCACCGCTTTGAATTGTTGGTTTTTCCGTGATCACATTGTTACGATTGACACTTTTATCATTACTACTAGCAGCTCCTGTATGACCATCACTAAGACCACCAAGATTAACTTCTTTGTTCTCTTCGGTTTTATTCTTATACCTTTCTTCCGAAACAGGAACAAATTTCTTTTTTACAGGATCAAAGATTTCAGACGGTTCCGATGATTCTGCTTTAGAAGCCAATAGAGATCATATTAATATAATATTATTATTTATTATAAGAAGTTTAACACGTACATGCAGCAGGAGCTTGACTATCTAATACAGTCGGTACATCTTCGGGATCTTGTTCTTGTTGCTGTTGATTTGAACCTGGAGGAGACTTTGATTCTTGAAGATCATCTTTTTCTTTTTCATCCTTTTCGAGTATCGATTCACGACGTCCACTAGCACCTTGAGAAAGACGTGATTCAGGATTATCTTTTTTTGATTGTATGGATCCGTATCCTTTTGTCCCATACAATCGTTTATTATTTTCATAGTATTTGATATTTTTGGTGCTACAAGCACGAAAATGGTAGATTCTTGATATTCTAAAAAGAGAAGGCTTGATCTTTATCATAATGACTGTAATTGAAGAATTGGTTTTTCACTTTTTTTGGTTCTTTTGCTTCCCTTTTATTTTAAAATCTTCATTATATAATGGCCTTTTTACATGACATCAGTATCGGTATGTTATCATTATGATGTTTAGTGACGTTTTTGAATTGCTTTTAGTTAGATTGATAGTTAAACGTAACGATTCTATTATTATGAGCTCACTGATTATTACTTGCAAAATTTTATTTATTCTTTATTTAGCATGGCCTCCATATAAATATTCACGTAGAAAAAATCTTATTTACATCCACAAGAATCTATCGAAATCATAGATAATGCACAATATATTGGATTCTAGTAATTAATTTCATATATTGGTTGTTTTTATCATATTGCTATTTTTGAGATGATAGATTCCAAAATTTTTTACTCCAAGTGGTAATTTTCTCAAGAATAGCAAATGACATCTTGATGTAAATTTTTATAATACAGTGCATACATGCATGCCAAACTATTAAATATCTCAAACTATCATTTTTATGCTATAAAAATATATTTTAATTATTTTGTTCATATAAGTAACTTATAAAAGTAATGCATTACTTCAAAATTTACTAATAAAATATAATAAAATACAGGTTTTTCTCTATATAAAAGTAAAAAATTTTAATTAGTAAAATTGAAAACTTTTATATAAAGAAAAAAACTTGGATTTTATTAGTAAATTTTGAAAGTGATGCATTATTTTTATAAGTTACTTATATTTATAAAAGTATATATTTATTTATTTAATCTTTAATTTTTTATTTTGATATTTTAATTTATAGAAAAATTTATCATTTACTTTTTTAATTAATTTTTTTGTAACTGAATTTATTTATAAAATAATTTGATTTTTTAAATTTTAATTATTATAATTTTTTTTTAAATACTTATTTTAACTAATTATATTATAGTAACAATCAAAAATAATGCAACAATATCAAAATTTATTAATTAAATATAGTAAAATACTGATTTTTCTTTTTATATAAAATTTTTCAATTTTACTAATAAATATTTTTTATTTTTATATTAAAATAAAGATAATATCACATATTTTAACATATA